TACCACTTTTCCTGCAACCTTGTCCACTTTTACTTTGTGGGGATAGCAGATTTGGCAGCGCTCATAAAAGTCGTATGTGTGCTGTGTGTGGATGGCAATGTCACGTTCCTGCTCTTCGACGTTGCCTACCTAGGAATAAATAGGTCTCATTGCTTGACTTTACTGTATTTGAGCCAGGAGAAATTAATCTATCCTGGTCCTTTTAAATTCCAGGTCCTGGCGGATGCACGAGGATTCTTCTGAAAACACACTTTAAAGTGAAAACAATAGGAAAAGAAAGTTTTAAAGTTTCTGGAAGAGCACAGAAATAGTAAGAGGGCTGTGTCCCTGGGGCCCCTCCCCATTCCCAGGTAGCGTAGCAGGTTTGCCCTGGTACCTCCAACCCGATCCCCGTGACGCTGACTCCCAGCACGGTCCAGGACGAGCTCCTACACACAGAGTTGTGCCAGGCTCCGGGCTCCTGCGCCCAAGTCTTGCATTGGGGCTGCTCCTGGAGGGAAGCCTGAAGGCGGGTGCAAAGCTCTGGGATTTGGGAGTGAGCTGACACTTAAAATCTTGAGCCTACTTGGCAAGATGATATGGAGGGTCTTCCTTTGATGTTTCGTAGTCTCATTGTCAGAAAAGTAGTAAATTGGAGGTTGCTTTCTTCCCCTTGGAAACCGGATTGTCACTGTGGAAAGGTTTCTTAATTTTCCATTTCTCATCTATCATGTGTCTCCTAGTTGTGACTCTGATTATTTTAATATTCTCTCTCTTCTCCCACTTAATATTCCTGTATGGCTGCTTATTATTATAAACCGTTTGTTCAACTTCACAGGCAATTATAAGAACAAATAGCCTAGTGATGTATTGACTGTGAGTGCATCTTTGACAATGCCCCAACACCCCCTTCTCTAAGACTGCTCTTCCGGACGAGAAAACAAGGAGAGAGTGAGTGAATGCCACGCATGTGAAGAACTCGGACATTTCCTTACTCACCCAGCCCCAGATGCTCTTTTCCCAGGCCTCGTAGTCAAGCTTTCATTAGAAATTTGGGAGAAATGCTTTACTGTGGCTGCTGGCTTGGCTGCTTTTCAGGTTCAGAGAGAAGCTTCTATATTCACAGGCCCTTTTTTCTTTTTCTTTTTTAGTATCTCCAGAAACTTGTATGATCCTCCTTAACAGTGCAGAAAAATATCCACATGTGCATAATATTTTAGAGCTTCTTTGTAGCATATGTTAATCTCTGAGACGAAAAAAAACAACACCCTCTTGGTCCCAGTCTCATTTCTAATAGGATAGCAAACTAAGAGGATACATGAGGATTATTCTAATCTCACCCTGGAGCTCTCTCCAGCACTGCTGCCTGTCTGGGACCCATTATTGAACTGCCTTTGCCAGCGCTCCAGAAAAGATGTGCTTATCTTGATTTAACAAGTAATGATAGCAAAGGCAAAAGCCTGAGCTGTCACACTTCAGAAAGAATGGATTAGCTAATTGATTGTGAAAAGAAATATTAGGCTGGAGCTAAACACCCTTTGGGGTGCTGTCCCTGCCTCGCTTTCTTCTTTGGTCCCTTGAGAATATGTTTGTACACGGGGGCTGTGTGTTGAACACAACCAGCTACTCCTCCTCCAAAGCACGTGCCATGGACCGCTCGAGGTGAGCGGCTTCCTTGTCTTGCATCTCTCCATCGCCGTGGCAGAGGTTTCTGCACACGAAGCCTCTGTTTCTCTACAAACTCCTCAAACCTTAGGGAGAACACAGGCAGGAAAAGGGCTTCTTTCTGGTGGGATTCATGGTTATAGGTGATGGGAGACCAGTCCACCTGGCGGAAACAAAGTCCTAGCATGTTTGTGTGAAACTAGTCCTTGGGGACACCACGGTCACCCTCCCACCGCTCATCATTTCACCATGGCCATGAGGGTGTGTGAAGAGTGTGACTTAGACCTCAGATATTGCTGTAGCTGGTGTAGCATCATACACCCCTTCCCTCCACTCTTCTTTATGAGGGAAGAGCTTTCCTCCCTTGGGTGAGGAACTGAGGGAGGCAGGCAGGATTCACTTGCACAGCAAGACCGGCTGAGCCAAGCCAGGACTGGAGTGCAGGTTTTACCTGCCTTTATAGCTCACTGCATGATACTTCTCTCCCTTTCATACTGAAAATAGCTACATTTTGCCATAAGACTCTAGTCTTGAACGCATCTTTAGACTCCTTCCAGAAGGCATGGGAGAATTTTGCAAGCAGAGGAACCACTGCTGTCACCAGCTCAGCAATACTCACACACATGGTTTCTCCTGTCCTCTACTCCCTCCTTACCCACATAATGCCCACCCCACCTCAACCCCCAGATGAAATTTCTTAAATCTTGTACACTGCAGAGAATGCAAACACACCCTGGGTTAAAAACATAGTTCTCTTTATGTGAAAGTTTTCTATCCACAGATAAAAGGCAGCTGATACATTGCATAGTACACATTTTTTTTTTTAAGTATGCTTATTATTCAGCGTGTCTGAGAAAAGGAATGATTACTGGCTCTAAGTTCCCCCAACAAACTGAAGTTAATGGAATAATAAATTAAAGTACTAGTAGTCCACATTATGTATAAATAAATGTTAACAGATACAAAAATGACATGAATGATGACTGATGCAGTTTCCCCTCTCCTCAGGAGTTCAGTGTCTTATTGGAGTGGTTGCATAAGCTGAGTTGTTATTAAAAAATGCAGCGCTGACTCTGGGGCTGTGAAACACAAAAGCCACCCAGGTTTTTCAACTGAATGGCAATGTCTTCAGGAAACCTTGCTCGTGAGAATGAGGGTGCTGTTCCCCTGCCTCTACGATGGCTGGTGACTGTCTCTGCTGCCGAGCCCTTGCTGCTGCAAGGAAGCAGACTTCATGCTTCAGCTGTGGCCAGTCCTGGCCCTAAGGCACACAGAGTGTTCATCAACTATTTACATTACAGGCACTACCCCTCCAAAGGACAAAACTCATGTAACCTTAGTGTACTGGCTGCTGTCTGGGCTGTCCTTGTTGTCCCATATAAATGTTCATTGCTGGAAATTCAGGACCTGGCCCTCTGTGGTCTTAACCCACCTTCTGCTGCCTTGAGGAAACAGCTGTAAGAAAGATCTATCATGTCAGTGTGCTTTATTAACCGTTTACCTGACCTCATGTTGGTCTCCATGCTTTCTTTGTGGCTGACAGTCATCCCCAGGCAGCCAGGCTACATGTGCCCAGCCTGGGATTCCCAGGGCAGCCGGTCCTGCGCATGGGCTGAGCATCAGTGCCGCACGCTGCTGCCTTGAGCTGGAGACCAACGCCTTGCTCATCTGCCCGGGGGAGTTTCAGAAAGTGGCAGCTTTGGGGAGACAGGCATTGAACAGGTCCAGAAAAGCCTGGAGCAGGAAACTTGCCAAACAGTGCAGCAGCAGAGAAGCAAATCTCCATTTGAGCCCAAGCAGCAGAGTCCACGCACAGTGAAGATCCAAGAGTCTTTACCACAACGTGGATGCTGGCCCATGTATTATACAATGAGAAAGGTCAACCATGTTCTGAATTACAGGGCTGTAATTCCACCCTGAGGATCCGATGACTACAGAAACCACCTGAGCTCTGCTCCCCTGGTTTGACAACTGTCTACTCCTGCACGCGATTACAATCCTGTTGTATGTCCCAGCTGCCTGGCAGCTTTTTATTGCTTCCTCCCTCCCTATGTACTTAACATTGAGGTAGAAGTTTTAACTAGCATTAAAACACACAAAGAAAATGAACACAATCTTCGTGGGCCAGTAGTCCAATGACCTTTCAAATTTGAAAAAACCTCCACAATGTGGCTATAAAATGAGTAATTGAAGTAGCAGAAAAAAGTCATTCTGAAAATATCAGAGAAATAGTATAAAAAAAGTACAGTACTGAGTTGCAAGACATTTTCTTCCTCTATTTGCTTTACAAAAAAACCCAGATAGCTTTTCTTTAAAAATTCTCCCTCTGCAACAAATGGCAGAAGCAGATTTTTTTGTGACATCAGAGACATATTGCTATCCCAGTAAGAGTACACAGTGAATTCCTAAAGGCATTAACTGTTTTGAGCAATGCTCTAAATATAGGTCACTTATATTAGTTGGCTTCAAACATTGCTTTTATTTCCTATAAAAACGTGTTTAAGTATGTGTGTATATATATACACACATATATGTCTATTGCAAAAAAAAATCTGCATTCCTTGTGAAGTTTGCAAGGAAGCTCAAAGTAATATAATAGTAGTAATAAACTTTACAAGGAGACTTCAATGACTTATTTTTCATACAATAATAAATATAAGGAACAAAAATCACCAGCATAGTAATTTTTTTTTGCTTTACAACCCATGTAATACTAAAGCAAGTTTATATTAATACTTAAATGAAGAGAGTTAAACTACTGCTGTAAGGGCTGCTGTTAGTTACCTCCACTCTGCTCAATACCACTAAGTAAATGAGGTCCAAATTGCAGTTGAAAGAACTTGGTTAGCTTGAATTTCATTCTTTTGATTTAATTACTGGCAGGAATGTGAAAATACATTCAGTGTAAGAAAGCTGTTAAAGCCAAAGGGGAAAAAAAAAAAGCTCTTTTCCAAGACATACTAGAAGTCCAGCTTTAATACTACATTTTTAAATCAGAGGAGGGGGGGAAAAAATCCATGAGCAGGGAAGACAAATACTGTTTACGAGTCTTCAAGGAGAACGTTTCACTGACATTAAAGGCAACTTTGCAGACTCGCTTGAAACGTATCAATTTGTAATCTACACATTTACAGGGGCTGCTCTGCTCTGAAAGCTGTTTCCCAATCTGTGCCAAAACATGTGAGGCTGTGTCGAATACTTCTGATGATAGACCTCCAGGCTCTTTTTCTCCATAATTGATTTAGTTATTAGCTATGCAGGGAGAGAAGAGATCCCTGAGGCTTGGTAAAACAGTATTCAGTTACTAAAAGCAGCCCTTTGCGAATTAATGTCATCCCACCAGTTCTTTCTGCTCATTATTCCTTCAAGTCTTGTTTGCCTGGACACCAGCTGTCACAGAGGAAGTCTCCAGCCTTTTCTTCTCCTGCCTCCTTGGTTGGCTGAAGTTGTACCAGCACGGTCTGGAGTGTCTCCTTCACCACCTGGATCTCCCTCTGCAGAGACTGTGCAAGCTTTATTAAGGAATAAATCTATAGGTGATTGGCAGTCCCTTTTCTCTTTCCAAGTTATTAAATAAATTCTTGTTCTGCTGCTCACAACAGATGGCCATGGCTATCTAATTGTAGCTTCAAGTTCTTCCAAATTGTTTGGATTAAATATTAATACATTTCTCACACTTGCTTTCAGAAAAAAAAAAAAAATCCAAGCAAATTGAAGTTCTGAAGCAGCATTATTTAGCACTTTAAAAAAGGGAGGGGAAGGGGGATACTGCTTGGATACTGTTCTCCAGGGAAGGAAGGAGCTGAAGCAACGGCACCATGGAGGCAGCAGCACACTAACCACGAGTTTCCTGATGGAGGGAGGGTGGATTCTTAAGCTGGAGATATGGACCTGTGTGGACCAGACCCCAGGTGAAGGCCACAGGGCAACAGGAGCAGTCCGAGACAAAAGGCAAGTGACCACAGCTTGTGTGGCATTAGCAAGCTCAGCAATGAGTGCTACGCAAGGTGGGGTGGGAATCCAGGTAAGCAGCAAAATTAGCTTACAGCAGAGAAAGTGTTTCTCCTCTACTTACCTCCAGAAGGCTTTAATCTTAGCCGAATTATCAGTACAATTATAACACAGAGAACACAAATGTAAAGCAATATGAGGCTCCATAATGAATGCTTTGAACCAGCTGAAAAGCAGAGAGATTAGCAGTAGCAAGGTGATGCCATCAGGCATTAAAAGCAAAAATGCCACCTGAAAAGCATCTGATAATTCAGTAAAAATACTTCATCCGGTCAAGAAAGGAGAGCTTCCCACATTCTATTTGCCATTGTCTGGTTCAAGTGTCCCGCAAGGCACTCAGGAAGAAAATGATGGCTAATTGCTTGGCCTCTTACGAGACCTTACACTTCCCTCTTTCCCCAGCTCCAAAATGACAGTGAGAAGGTGTCAGGCGGTGCCAACAAGAATGCGAGGGGTGCAGCAGCGAGCAGACTGGCAGATGAAGGTAGGACGTGCATGGAGATCGCGGCAACCTCCGAGACATGCACAAGTTTTCAAGTAGCTGGGTTTCCTCGGCAGCAGAGCTTTGTGTTCTAGTGACTAGTGTCTCCTAGGAATAAGCACACTTTGTATTACCAATACATCGGCCTTTCTGCTGATAAATCTAATCTTATGTTAATGAGACTATCCACTATTGAATCAAGTGCAAGGACTGGGCGTAGCTCAGTGAGACAGCCAACCTTATCTCCTCTTCCATCGGTTATGCTACACGGAGAGCAAAGCAAGCGCCAGACAAGCCAGAGCCTGCCGAAGCTCTGAACCCACGACCAAGTCTGTGCGAACAAGCCCTAGGGCCCACCCCTCCACCCTGAGGCCTCCTCTGCAGGTACGGTTGAAGGGCAAGGACCCCAAAAAGCTAACCCAAGTGGGTCAAGGGAGAGAGAAGTCAGTTCATTTCTAACAGTAAGTCATCAAATGATCTCCGAGAGAGCCAGAAACTCACTTGAAGAGAAATGAAACAGGCTGACACTGAACCAACGCAATTTCAAGAATAGAACACACAGGAAGGATAACGCACAAGGACAGGTTTTATCCTTTACAGAGCTCATTCATTATGAAATGTTGTTTTACTCGACCCCGATGTTAATGCAATGTCAAGTAAATAAAAGACAACCTCGGGTTATGTGACTGTAAAAAGTGAGCTGCTGCTTTTGAAAATTTGCGACTAGAGTGGGCCATGGGGAAGCTATACAAATCACCGCTATTTCAGGCACAGTTATGCCTTGAAAAGCCTTTTGGCTGCTTTTGATTCTGTAATCAGTTCTTCAAAATTTCATCTTTATGTATTTACATACATTTACTATGATGTCTTACTCTTCATATGTTCACCAGGAGTATTCACGCATACTTCTAATTCCTGAACAGGTCCATTAGTCTAAAGGGATTCTGTCTCTGATTACAAGTAAGAGCAGTACACACAAAACTTCTCCTACCCTACAATCTGTACAAAGCACTGTACAAGGGCAAATTAATTATGCTTTGCATCTTCTCTGAAGTAAAAAACATTATTATCTTCTTACAAGCAGTTCAGGACTGTCCACCACTTTGCGATTTAATCATGATGCTCTGCTGAAAACCTAGCTGGTAAAAGAGAAATTCTTCAGTTTATGAACACCATGAAGCCTCTGAAATTTAATTACTTCTGATGCACAGTCTCTGACTACATGCTGTTATTTGTAATATCCCAAGCAATTACAATATTATTTTCAGGTAGAGAGAAAAGCAAAATTAAAATTTTTCACTGCCAGTGGATCAGGAATCTTGAAGGATGCAGGAAAATGTAGGGGCCAGGGAAAGAAATTCTTCATCAACAGTAGGATGGAGCAACAAGATAGATGACTACAGAGTCTACCTACAGCAAGTTTCAGTAACCTCACAGATAATACTACAACCAGCTGTAGACTAGTAACTGTCAAATGAGCCTTTATAGCTAGGCAAAATATACGGTATAAGGCTGAGCATAGAATCTCTATCCCTATACAGAGGTTATGTCTGGATAAAGAGCTTCACCTGTTTTTAAAATGCAAAAAACCTTAGTTTTTCATGGGTCCACATGCAAACATGTCCTTCATGCTTAAATTCTCTATTCAGCGCTCCAAATATTGAGCCAGTATCAAAGGCAGGAGCCAAACCCCATTTCAACTATGAACATTTTCTGATCCTGCTGTCTTCCTGTGAAAAACTGACAAAACCTCTCCAATGTCTCACAAGCAGTAAATTAAAGTCCTTGGGAAGAGCTTCACACAAATGCAATCCATGTTCTGCAACGATGCTGCAACTCTAACGTTGTCTCGGTTGAAACTTTTCACCTGTTCGACTTCCTCTCTCTCTCTCTCTAAAAAACTTGAGCATCGTGACAGTCCGTGACTTACAAAGAGATAAAAAGCAGATCTAATTACTACAGAGTTACTTAATTTTTGGAAAAAAGCGGGTTCATCACTGTATCTTCTGTTCTCTTAGCACAGATGTTGAGGGAAGAGAGACAAAAGACAGAGACTGCAAAGCAGTTGCCTTCCTATAGGAAAGGTTAGAAACTAAGAGCATATGGTAGACAAAAGGCTGTGGAAGGACAGTCAATGACTACCACAGGGCTGACGTAAAGCCATGTGGGATTTTGGAGAATAACAGCAATTTTCGACACCTGAAGAGGAAATTCAGACTTGAAGAACGGAAATAATCAGAAAGATGGTGGGTGTTTTTTTTTTAACCTGGTTAAATATTCTGCTTGTTTCTAACAGCTGAACATTACAGTGGCTGGAGACAGAAGCTCAGCTACATGTCCCACTACACAACCACACAGGTTTCTCCTAATCACAGACACCAGTACACCTGGGGGACCTTGAGGTCACAGTGGACAGCAAACTGAACCTGAGCCAGCGATGCATCTTGTGGCAAAGGTGGCCAACAGCCTCCTGAGCTGGATTACAAAAAGCATTGCAAGTAGGTGGAGGGGGCTGATCCCTCCACTCAACTCTGGTGAGGTCCCATCTGGAGTGCAGGGTCCAGTGCTGGGCTCCACAGTACGAAAAAGACACAGACTTACTGAAGCGAGTCTAGCACAGGGCTCGTTTAATGGACTTAAGCACCTGCCATAAGAGGAGATGCTGAGAGAGGTGGGACTGTTGAACCTGGAGAAGGCTCAAGGGGGTCTTACCAATGTGTATAAATACCTGAAAGGTATTCTGAAACACCTGAAAGGTGGGAATGAATAATAGGGAGGGAAGAATAGTGACTCTTCTCACTAATGTCCATCGACAGAACAAGAAGCAACCGGCAAAAACTCCAAAATACGAAATTGAATCTGAATACAAGAGAACATTTTTTTTACTGTGAGGGTGGTCAAACACCGGAACACTTCGCACAGAGAGGTTGTGGAGTCTCCATCCTTGGAGACATTCAGAACCCGACTGGGCATGGTCTTGGGCAACCTGGTCTAGATGACCCTGCTTGAGCAGGGAGTTGGACCACATGATGTCAAGAGGTCACTTCCAACTAAACGATTCTGTGACTGCATGTGCTGTGTGCCAAAGGACCAGCGAACAGGCAAGACAATTCAATGTTTATTTGGAATGACCTGGGTTTCAGACTTTCCGAAGGGCACTCTTGGGAGCAAAGGAAGGACACCAACCAAGTTCCTGTGCTCCTATATGAGGCCTGTGTGAGAACACGCAGCAAGAGAGCAAAAGGGCCTTTGGAAGTCCATCACTTACTTCTCCTCACAACATACAGGGGTGTCTGTGGTAGCGAAATCTGATTAGCATTTTTTTATTTCCCCCCTCCATTCCTGTCTACCTCCTTCACAGACACAAATGTATTTCTACAAACTAACGTAACGCCCCTCCTAAAATTACTCAACAAAAAACCCCAACGGAACAACTGCTACATTTTGAAAAATCACTTCAGTGATCCGGATATCAGATCTGTCTCCAAAACACTTGTTCCAGCTCAAAATGGAAGAAAAAGAAGCTGCAGCACATGGGTGGAAATGCACTGACCTACCTCCATCGCAGCACGAACACGAAAGGTGGAACCGTGTTCTCTCAATGTGACGTGCACTGGGAACAGCCCACCCTCCTGTCATCCAAATTTTGGGATCCCAACATTTCTTACAGGTTCACCCAGGGCGAGATCCCTCAGCGATGTACAGTCAGGGCTGAACCCTATGCTCCTGATCCTGTCAAAAACCCACGCTGGTGTAAAGCAAGACTTGTACGAGAGCCTGCCATATGATGAAGGTGGAGGGTTAGCCAAGTGACCTGCAATGCTTAATGAATGTTTAGGCACCAAATTCTGCTTTCAAAATAACTGTTTAAAATGCCCATTTTAGCGCAAGGAATGGAGATTGCTTTTATAATAATAGTCCAGTCAGGTTTTCTTCCAGCAAAAGCATTTTCACCAGGAGGAACTATTACATGCATTCAAATTGTCTATCAAAATGTAACTGCTAATTAAGAACAAAGATGACTGTGAAATTGCAATATAGGCTCCATTTAATTTTACTGGGAATTCCAGGCCTTTACTGTCAGAAAAGTAACACCTCTCATCAGCTCTTCAGACACAAGAGTGAGTCACCTCTCATCCTTTGGTTTTTCCAATTAGTGATGCGGACTGTTTTCATACACTCGCCAACGATTAACCGTAATTGAATGTTTTGTGGGATCGTTTGGTTATACTACATAGAATTTAGCAAATATGTCATAGTGCTACAGAGGAGCTCTTCCGTCTCCCCCCCCCGCTATTGTTTGATGCTTTTTATACAAAAGCACAGTTTCACAGTTTTGCTGTGAAAGGCTTCAATAAGAAATGAGAAATCCAAGTGCATCTGTGCATATACTCAGGACCGAGAAATATCACTGGATTTCTCCTTTGTTCAGGTCATGCTGGCAATTACGACGAGCAGCACGGTTGATTTAAGTGTTCTGTGCCATCAAAATGTAGAATGAAAAACAATGACATCTGGGATTTTTCTTCTAATACAAACTTAATTATTAATCAAAGCTATGACACACACTAAACATTGGCAAATGGCTCGAGAGCATCAGGAATTTATTTTTCTCAGTGGAGTCTTTAAAAGTCTTTTAATAATCAGATGACAGGACTAATTTACATCTGTGCAGCCCCCAGTCAGATTTTTAACCTAACACAGTTTGTAACATTCACGTGTAAGGCAGTTTTTTGGGGGATGAGGGGAAGGGCAAAAATAACCAGAGAACAAGAGTTTGAAAAATTTATCCTGCTTTCGTTACAAGTCCAGATCTTTAAGCTCCTGCTCTCAGAGTTCTACAGATTTTTAATGAAGACTGCATGATTATCCGATATTTGGGATAAGAAATTGCTGTGTTTAAAACCAAATAAACTACCGTGCAAAAAATAGATCCATCTATTAATCATAAATTCTTCTACTGAGGCTAATTATTGGCACCGGTCTCAGTGCTAGTTCCTGCAATAGAGGCGAGTTCTCAACGAGTGAAAGTTTAATTTATAGGCACTGAGTTGTTATTTAAAACAAAACAATTTACAGGTTTGTAGCACTGTGGTGGCTATTTTTCTCGTTCCTTTTTGAAGTATAGCACAGCGATCACATGTACCAGATGGCAACATTTTATGCACATTGATCTGGACTACCTCTGAAATAGCAACTAAATACTCACACAGTGTGCATTTCTGTATTTAGATAATGTGAGCTCAGTTTCACAGACCGAGGAAATCAGATCTGCATCACATAACTGTGGCTCGGAACAAGACTAATCTACAACTCTTCTCAAACTTTCAATTATTAGATCTTATTTTTTAAACTAACTCTTCCAGTTTCAATACCTACAAAGAATCATGCACGCTTCATAGAGAATACAAATTTTACATACTTGTAGAGTATTTTCTTCAGGAATTAAAAAAACAGTTTTTCAGCTTATTTCACCTTACCTAGTAAACTGCAACTGTGATCAGACCTGACTGGTTTGAACGTGAACTGAAGTCCACTGCAAAGAACCCTTAACACAGTGTTCTTCTATTAGAGTCAATGAGAAAGGCAAATTTAAGAGCAAGCACACGTCAAGGAGGAAGGACGTAGATGCTCTGCACACACCCAAGACACACCCAAGACACGCACATCCATAAAGCTCTGAAAAGAATGCTCACAAACAGCATTGGGGAAACACAACTGCAACCGAGCATGCACGCGTAAATATAATTAAAAGAATATTGCAAAGTGGCCTATGATAAAACACAAGAAAATAATCTTTCTGCACATTGAAACGCTTAGAAAAGAAAGATTTGAAGTGATAACAAATTAACGACTGGATTTCTCCCCTCCAATGCAACCCCCTTCAGCACCTTCCCCTCCACCTCCCCCTTAAAGTTTATCATCCCAATTCAAGTTTCCAGAATAGGAATTTTGGAACGCGCTGGCAATAGGTGCCCAATTACCTAAAACACAGTGGTATTTCCACACGCACAGGAGGAACGGAATCCCTCCTAGCATCATCACCATCTCAGCTCACCTGCAGGTGTCCATGGGGACTCCTTCGCTAATCTCTCCAACCTGAATTTATTCACCTTTCTTCATGATCTCATTGCTTGCCACCTCTTCTCCACTAAAACGTAACCAGCTCATTACTCATATCTTCCTCAGCCTCACCGTTCTTATTCTCTTTTCCCTTTCTTAGAAGAATAAAGACCATTTTGTGGTAAGTTCCTCTATGAAAGTTACAAATGAAGCAACACTCTCTACTCTTAAATTCTGACAAATGTTCACAGATGTAGACCCAACAAATTCATCATAATGGTTAAGCAATCTTCAGTCAGATGCTGAATGACAGATGAAGCACAGAAAGAGATAAGGGTGCTTTATAAGACAACATCTCATCTGGTTACTTGCACTGGAGTGTTAGAGGCAGATTAAATTGCATCGGATGCCACACAATGCATCTGCTGCCCATTTTTTTTTGAAAGGAAAACAACCCAAACTGCATGTGACAATATAGACAGTCTCAGTCAATGATGTAGCAATTTAATTTAGCTAAATTATGTTGGGAAATGCAGTGCAGGGATGCTTGTATCCATGCAGCTTCTGGTGCACTAGGTATTTACTTCTACGAACATTACAAACAAAAGGATTTTAACATAGAATAAAGGCTTTTCAGTGCCTGATCTCAATTGACAAAGAATTAACTTCTGTTTAAATCAATTAATGCTGGATCAGACCGCAGTGAAAATGCACTGTAGGAAAACTTGCTTCAACAAAAACGCCCACTTCAGCAAGACAATCAATTCTCCCCTTCTTAACGTATTTAATCTACGTTAAGAACTAGTGCTCCATGTGAATCTGAAAGGCAAGCATTTCACATACATACTTACATGGATTGATATATATCTATACCTATATCACAAAGGATATGAATAACTCCCTCATCAACTCTGCAGATGGAATTTTGCAGTTGGTCTTCCAGATGCACCAATTTCTCCCTTATGGCTTCGCATTTTTCTCCCAGCTCTGCAGAAAACATGAAGAACTCCTGCAGGAAGTTGAAACAGAAAAGAAAGCATGTTTGCTGCCGACTGCACTTTTCTACATCAAATTTGCATCAAATTAAGGGGAAAATGAAATATTAGTAAGGGGATATGATACTTTGTAGTGCTGAGACCTTGCCTGAAAGCAAATTACGGTCAGAGAGACAAAAAGTTCTTACTATATCATAATTTGGTGATTTATATGAAATGGAATGAGCTTGTGGTCTCAAGTCTATTTCCCGGCAGAAAAAAGTCATGATCTCACTTTCAGCAGAGGATTAAAGGGGTGTGAAGACTGAACTGCTCTCCCTCTCCCCCGAGGTCTCACCACAGCAGGGGAGGGAAATCTCATGCTGACTACACAATTCAGCTTCCTACATTTCAAGTTGTTCATGTAAATCTAATTTACACTTTTAGGGCATTTAAGTATTTCAAGAAGCATCACTTTTGGCATCTTTTATAAACACAAAATGTACTTTTTTGAGGAAAAATCTGGCTAGAATACTTTGGGACTTTGCTCAACTGATCAGAGAAAACACATCAAAGTCTTTGAGATTACAAAATGAAACTACACTTTTTTTACTGTGTTATTATGAAACAAAAATAATGGTTCTCTACTTCGAACTTGTACAGACAAATGCTTTTTCTATTTTAAACTGAGCATTCTAAACCCGTTGACAGTGCTTCCCATAAGTTTGTTTGCTTTCAGATGTATTAGACCAGGGTAATTTGTAGCTTTTGTATTTTGTATCGACTGCTACTTTGAGAAATGACCCAAATGAGCAGCAGCTCCGAGGAGGGAGATCAACCAATCTCTGTAGCACTGAGACAAGCCTTTCATCTCCCTCCCAAGGCATCGCAGCGCTGTCTACAGTGAATGACGGGTGTTATCTCTAAGGAAAAGTTTATGATGCCCAGATGAAGTTCTGGTGGAGCCATGTGGAATAAACTGGAGTCAATCATCAGCTGGAATCCAGATAACTGGATTTTTTTTAGACCTAAGTCTATGCACTCCTCTGTACAGCCAGCTGTACACACGGCCATATGCAATCTTCATATAGTTTTTCTCCTTTAAAAAAGTACTTGGAGTCCTTTGCGCTGATCTGTTGCTATAATAGCAGCCATCAGGGTTGTTTAAGGGAAGTCAAGCCTTCAGTCAAAGGCCTTCCAAAGAAATCATCCTAATGCTTGTTGGAACGCTGCCCATTGTGCAACAAACTGGTTTTTGGAAAACACATTTACCAGTTCCGTGCTACACTCTGTGTCACACAGCGCATACCCAGAGTCAAATGTCAGCAGAGCTCTGTTTGCTGGCACATCCTCTGCCACAGCCCAGAGCCTCGACCTTTCTGCCTTCGCAGGTCTCCTGCCAGACACGGCTATTCAGCAGATCGCACGGGTACGCAGCCAGCTGCTGCTCGACCTCCGGACGAGCGAGCCAGAGAGAACTCACGCCGCAAATACCCACAGCTCCGAGACAGAGAAGCACAACCTGAGAACCAGCTGAGTCCCTGGCTCTGCGCACCGGCCCTGAGCAGCCATCTTCAGAGCCATTACTACAGCAGCGCTTACAGAATTTACAGACATAAAAATGACCTATTGTTTTTAAAATGAGAGCAAGGGAGGATAAAGTACTCATTCTCCCTACAGCAACTAGGAGTGTCCTTTTCTCAACAGCGGGGACACAAGATGGGGAACAAGTCTTCCATCCAGTTGTTGAATCATTATTCAGGACACCAAGCAGGACTCCATATGCAGTTAGGGAGTAGGATAACTTAGGCAATTTATATCAATAGAAAGCTTTCAGGGAATCATTCTGTGATACATATGCAAGAACAGATGACAGTTGTCTGAAGGAACTCAGGGATCAGGCTAGGAGAATCAGTAAATTGTAAAAACTTCGTACTCTGAAAGCACATCTAAAATGATGATCATCTAAAGAAAGCTCCACCTCCAAAAACTGATGCACAAACTCCCGAGTACTACTCCGGCAGACAAAAGCCATAAGTGAAGTTTTCAAACCGGCCTCTTTCTACAGACTGTGTACTTCAACAAAAGGTACTAGTCAGGTATCTTACAGTGACACAGGAAAAGCAGATTCTTGCTATTAAAATGTCAATATATTGAATATTTTAGTCTGATTCCATCACTGCTATTATCAAGAACTATCACTATATCAGATTTTGGATCACATTCACAATGTCAAAAAGGATGACACTTCTAGTCCTGATTCAGAATAATCAGTTACTACAGACCGCAAATAAAAAAAAAAGTACCTCTTATCATAGACTGCTGAATACCATTACATATATTCAAACATAAAAAGCAATATGAAGCTATGCATTACAGTAGGGTATCCCTTTTTTTGTTTTAGGGTACTGTTGATGGCAGGAACATTTATCCAGACAACTGGTCACCCAGTTAGCACTATCTTTAGTTGCTGTAAGAGAAGATCAATTTTCTCCACTTTAGAACTGCCCTCAGGTTTCTCATCTTGTATGTGCAAAGGAGTTCGCTGGGCAGCTAACCTAAGTGATAAGCACGCTGGCTGGATCTGTCTAGCCCTGCTGTGAAGATCCACAGTGGAAAATCTTTCCCTGTTCACCGTCTCAGTGAACGTAGACAGGGCAAAATGGGCCTTTTGGACCTACCCCCTCACTGAATTTCAGGTGGGCTGGAAGATGCTGGAGACAGCATTGGCAAAACAGGCTCCGTGCTGCAAGCATGGCCGGGCTCTAATGTGCACAGATCCTGAAAACCCGAGATAAATATAACGAGAGCCTGAAATCCACACTTGCAGTGCAGCTGGATGACTATGCTTATTGGTGTATTGCTATATAATCTGATTCCATGTTTGACATTTTCTTTTCCCTTTTAAAACAAAACTTCACAGTCAAGTAAAGAAAGGTCCCAGGAAGGACGGAACCCACCAAACAAGCCCCAAGACCCTAGGACTTCGGTTGAACGCTTGTTTCGTAGCATTGGAACAGGCTGCCCAGGGAGGTGGTGGAGTCACCATCCCTGGAGGTCTTCAAAAAACGTGTG